TCAACACACCCTTCACATTTTTCAAATCCATTATCAATAGGATTAGGGAGTAAATTCATATTTTTCATGCGCTTTAATGAACTAACATTCACATGCCCTAATCTATCATGCCACAAGGTAATAAATTCAACAATGTAAGTAGAAGTAGAGCATCTATTATTATCATAATCAATAATAGTGTCCAAGACAAATAAACCCCCACATAAGTATCCCTTCCCTAGAATTCCTCATTACTGGTCAACACAAGCTTATTAGCTTCAAAAACTAACTTAATACCTACCTTATTAAGTAGGGCTCTTGAAATCAAGTTTCTATGAAGGGATGGAACATAAAGCGCGTTACTCAAAACAAGAGTTTTACTAGAATTTAATTTATGGATAGTTTTCCCTTTACCGATCACGGCTGAGCTACTAGAGTTTCCCATGTACACTTGCTCACGGTCTTTGCTATCTTCGTACTTCGTGAGCAAATCCTTGTTCGCACAAAAATGTCGAGAAACTCTAGTATCTATAATCCATTCTGCAACATTGGCTAGCAGGTTCACTTCTAAAACCAATGTTCTGTCAAATTTGCTTGATTCTTATCGCGTTCCTGATTGATGTGTTGGTTGCCTATTTGCCCATCTTTACGATGGTAGCATTGAAAGGCACGATGTCCTGTCTTGCAGCAAACAAAGCATGGTGCTTTGGATTTTTTCTGAATTTTTCCAAAGTTCCCAGAATTGTTGAACTTGCTACGCGTGTCTGATTGGGATTGACAAGCCATAGATGTTGTACACGTGGGTGGTCTGGGTTGAGCTATTGACAGTGTAAAAGGGGTGGGGGGTCTAGTCCGCATCAGACACACCTGTAGACACATATGCGCCTATGATCAAGGCATCTGGTCTCCTCCCTCCTATTGGCACACCCAGGATTGAATCATTTGTAATATATTTAGCTTTATTTATTTACTAGTCTCTTAGCTTGTTTAGTTATTATTTTGGGGCCGTCATTCTTTGGCGGTACTCTTGGGCTTTGCAGTAGCAGCAGCAGCAGTAGTAGTAGCAGTAGTAGTAGCAGTAGTAGTAGCAGTAGTAGCAGTAGTAGTAGTAGTAGTAGTAGTAGTAGTAGTAGTAGTAGTAGTAGTAGTAGCAGTAGTAGCAGTAGCAGTAGCAGTAGTAGTAGTAGTAGTAGTAGTAGTAGTAGTAGCAGTAGCAGTAGCAGTAGCAGTAGCAGCAGCAGCAATAGTAGCAGTAGTAGTAGTAGCAACAACAGTAGTAGTAGTAGTAGTAGTAGTAGTAGTAGTAGTAGCAGTAGTAGTAGTAGTAGCAGTAGTAGTAGTAGGAGGAGTAGTAGTAGTAGTAGTAGTAGTAGTAGTAGTAGTAGCAGCAGTAGTAGAAGTAGTAGTAGCAGTAGTAGCAGTAGCAGTAGTAGCAGCAGTAGTAGCAGTAGTAGAAGTAGTAGCAGTAGCAGCAGTAGCAGTAGTAGCAGTAGCAGCAGTAGTAGCGTTAGCAGTAGTAGCTAGCAGTAGCAGTAGTAGCAGTAGTAGCAGTAGTAACAGTAGTAGTATTAGTAGTAGTAGTAGTAGTAGTAGTAGTAGTAGTAGTAGTAGTAGTAGTAGTAATGGCGGTGTTTCCAATTTTGGCATTTTAGGGGTGAGTAGCTGATGTGGTTACTTGGTTACCAATCACTTATTTGACTGATTAAACCAGTTGAAAATTAGTTGATGAACCAATTTCTAAACACTATCTAAGGGAGGTGTATTCAATCATGACTTTTATAAACTTTTAAAGACTTTTAAAATAATAGATTTTAATAAACTTTGATTGACTTTCATTGAGTCGTTCAAAACTTTTTAAAACTTTGTAAGACTTTATAAAAGTATATATAAAAACTATTCATAAACTTTTATCAACTTTTTTATTTTTAAAAGTCTACAAAAGTCATTGGCTTCCCACCAGCCTTCGTACAGCTGGTTATGGGCAATCTGGCAGCGACAAGGCCCTCGATTTTGGTCAATGGGGTAAGCTGCGGTTTTTTCCAACCAACTAGAGGGGTGAAGCAAGGCGACCCCCTTTCTTCGTTGCTTTTCATCCTGGTATCCGAAGCTCTATCGCGCTCTCTCATACAAAAAGTGGGAGTTGGTATGCTGTCGCCTTATACGTCGAAGAGGGATTGTCCGTTGGTCACTCATTTGGCCTTTGCGGACGATATTGTGATCTTTGTGAATGGAGCTGTGAACTCTCTCAAGGCACTGAAAGACGTCTTAAAGCTTTATCAAAAAGGTTCGGGCCAGAAAATCAACCTCGGAAAAAGCTTCTTTGTTACTTCCAAAAATTGTTCAAGACGAAGGCTATCTATTATGACACAAACTTTGGGCATGCAAAGTTCGAGACTGCCTTTCCGATACTTGGGTGTGAATCTTTTTAAAGGCCGAAACAGACCAATATATCACCAACATCTTATCGAGAAAGTAGATAACAAGCTACAAATATGGAACAGGAAGCTGTTGTCACCGGGAGGGAGATTAATCCTAATCAGACATGTGCTTTCCACGATTCCATTATACACTGCAAGCTCTATTCTTTTGCCTCGGCAAACAACAAAAGTTCTTGAGTCTAGGTTTTCAAACTTTTTGTGGGGAGAAAGTGATGGCAAGAACAAACGGCACTGGGCATCCTGGGATAAACTGTGTTTCCCCACCCAGGAAGGGGCATTGGGCATTAGATCCTTGACTTCTGTTCAGAAGGTCTATTCAGCAAAGTTACAATTTAATTTCTTGCAGGGAGATTCATTGTGGAGCAATTTTATGAATGCTAGCTATCCAAATGAAGGCACACAAGTGTCCACCAGGGCTACTTGGAGACGAATACATCAGCAAAGGGACTTTGTGATGACAATGTCCAAGAACAATCTGATGGGCTGATCTGGACTCTTTCTTCCTTTTGGGATTTTTCGATATCTTCTGCCTTCAATGCCCTACGACATAAGGCTGGTAGGACTCTATCGTCCACCCTCATATGGGACAAAGGAATTCCATCCAAAATTTTCTTCTTCATATGGAAACTGCTGCGAAAATATCTCCCCTTCCCAGATATAATACAGCGTTTTGGTATATGCTTGCCCTCCATTTGTCCATTTTGTCTTAATGCATCTGCGACCTTGGATCACTGCTTGCTCAATTGTGTCAAAGCACGCCAGGTTTGGGAACACTTTGATGGTCTGTTTGGAATTTCTGTTGCGGCCCATTCTATTAGGTCGAAATGCCATAGTTGGTGGCTCACTGCGGAGAGAGGCACAGCTGGAGGCTTTGTTGCACATCTTCTTTCTTGCCTTAATAATTGGATTTTGTGGTGTGCGTATAATCGGTGTCTTTTTTAGGATGTGGCCTTCTCTGTAGGCGACACCATCAACAGAATCAGAAAAGAAACTTTTCTTGTCTCCTATTCTCGGCCTAAGAGAAAGGGGCGAGACGATGACTTCCTTGTCGTTGCTGGTCTAGTGGCGCGCTTTGCTGATTAGCCGAGGAGGACCACCATCTGGATTAAATGGCTTGCGCCACCAAGTGGGAAGCTTAAACTGAACACTGACGCTGTCTACACGGCCACTGGAGCTGCCGGTGGCGCATGTCTGAGAGATTCGGAGGGATTTCTTGTCTCGGGTTTGAGTTACCCCGTGACTGCCGAGTCTGCTTTGGAGGCCGAAGCTCGCTACCTTCATTGCGCTCTTCAATGGTGCAGCGTTTTCAACTTGCGGCCGGCTGCAATTGAGGTGGATTCCCTCTCCCTAGCCAGCTTAGTTGCAGCTGGAGATGCTAGAGTGCCGTGGAAGTTGAAAACTGCGGTAGATTATGCTCGATCTTGCCTGCTTGGGTGGGGCTCTTCAATTCGTCATGTCTATCGAGAAGCTAATCGGGTAGCAGATGCTCTAGCAGAGGCTGGGATTGCTTATGATTCGCCAACTTTGTTTCGTTCCTTTAATAGCTTGCCCGTAAAAGTACAACAGGCTTTCTTGTATGACTTTTGAATGCATTAAAATATAATATTCATAATATATTAAAAAAATATACTTGATATATCGTTAGGCATCAAGCAAAGAGCTATTATGTGAAATAGCAATTTGGTACTGCGAACAACAACAAGGTGCTACTGTTTGGAACACCAAATTGTTGTTGCGAATAGTAGTTTGCTATTCTTAGTAACCTGTTGTTAAAAAAAATTACGAATATAAACATAAAAAGAATAAAAATAAAAATATATAAGTATTTATATGAATATTATGAAACATTTAGTAAAATTTGACGGTGATAGATGAAAAATTTGCTTTGTTCATGTATTTAGGGAGAATTAGAGAAAGTTTAGAAGTTACAGAGAAAAGTTCGTAGAGAAAGTTTAGAAGTTAGGGATAAAAATTTTGTAGAAAAGAAATAAAAAAAAATCAAAATAAACAAGCAATGATAAAGTAAAAATAATATTATTTCAAATTTTTAGAGGAAGATTGTAAAGTTTAGGAGAGAGAAAAAATTAGTAGAATTTAGGTATGAAGAAAATATAGGATAATGAAGAAAAAATAATTTATTGAATTTAGGTATAAGGTTTATAAATTTTAAATAAGGAGAAAAAATAGAGTTTAAATAGAGAGAGAAAACATTCAGAGTTGGTAGAACGCAAATTTTGAAATCTTTGGGATTGATGATTGGATTTCAACTATTTATATTTGAGAATGAAAACTCTACAAAAGTCCTAAAAATAAAAAGTCTACAAAAATTCATAACTTTTTAATACCGCATACCTTTTAAAGACTCTTTAAAATTCTTAATCGAATACCACCTGACTTTTAAAAACTCTTTAAAAATCTTGATTGAATACCGTCTGACTTTTAAAGACTCCCTACAAATTTAAATTGAATACCTTCAAACTTTTAAAGTTGATAAAAGTCTTTAAAAATCTATGAAAGTCATGATTAAATACACACCCTAAGAATTTGTGTAAACACACTTCAATGTAAAAACTTCCTCAAGTGTTACGTTGCACTGTACTCCCGGTAAAGTATTGCGTACACTATGCTTTCTTAAGAAGATACAATTATACTAAGCACTCCGGCCGTATAAAATTTCTAATTCTGAAGTATCATTCAGCACAAATTGCTTAACATGTTTTTTGTGAGAAATAAATGGCAGCATTACTAAGTAATGGAACTATACATGTGGTACACCATAAGCAGAAAAAAGCCAGGGATGAATTGCTGGGTAAGAGATTGCCAACTCCCATTGCATGTAAGGCTACCCCTCCATACCTTGCATGGAAATAGTGATGGGGGTAAGTCCAATAGAGAGACTTGGTCATTAGAATAAGATAGATCATACAGGAATTGCAGTGTCAGGTTTCGTTTTAACTAATGTTATAATAATATTATTATTATTATATTAAACCAAGTAAGATGAGTTAGTTGGTTAAAAATAATGGGAGTAATTATAGGTGCAGTACATGGCCATGATGTTAGCTTTACATGGAGCATTAATTCCTTAATTTTAGCATTTGAGTTATCTTATCTAGTATAAATAGTCTTTGTATTCAAGCTTTTATAATCAATCAAGTTATCTATTCCTCTCTCTCTCTTCTCAATTATATATATATATATATATATATATATATATATATATATATATATATATATTATATTATATTTAATATATCTAACATTTGGTATCAGAGCCAGTCAACCTTTCAACCTCGAGATATTTCCCGTAGTGAAATATGGCTGCAAATTTCAATATTGTATGGACGGGTCCCAAATTGGACGGGAAACTCGATTACAATTATTGGCAAATTATGATGTCCACACATTTGCAAGCTCAAAATCTTTGGAGCTTTGTTGATCCCGGTCTACCCGAAGGAGCTGAAGCAGCCGCTATACGGCGAGATAAATTGGCCTTGGGTCAGATTCACCAAGGTGTTCATTATTCCATTTTTGGGCAATTAGCTCGTGCTCAAACAGCAAAACAAGCTTGGGACATCTTAAAGGTGTCACACAAAGGAGTCGATCGGGCACAGAAGTCTAAGTTGCAGTCATTGAGAAGGTTGTACGATAATTGTGAGATGACCTCTACAGAAACAGTAGATGCGTATTTCACTCGTCTTATTGATATGGTGAATAAGATGAGGCTATATGGAGATACGATTGAAGATGGTGCAGTGGTTGAAAAAGTTCTTCGAACTATGCCGATGAAGTATGACCATGTGGTGGCTTCAATAACAGAGTCACACAAAACCGAGCTCTTATCAATTGCAGAGCTGAAAGGTATGGTAGAAAGTCATATTGACAGGATTGCATCAAAATCGGAACCACTAGCAGAAGAAGCTTTGAAGAGTCAAGTCACCCTTAATGTGACTGGCACTAATCAAAGAGGTGGAGGATCTGGTAGAGGTCGTGGAAGAGGAAGAGGAGGTTCTAGTGGAAGAGGTCGTGGTAGCTCCAACCAAGGAAGAGGTGGAGGTAATACCAAACAAGGTAAATTTCCATTTCATTGCTACAATTGTGGCAAGTATGGACACAAGATTGCAGATTGTTGGTATAATGAGGACAACAATCGCGGAAATCAAGCAAACATTGCTGAAAATACTACTGAAAAGTCTGGTGAGAGTTCTGAAACTTTACTTTTAGCCAGCGATAGTTTTTCTGCAGATAAAAACATATGGTTCTTGGATACTGGGTGTAGTAACCATATGTGTGGGAAGAAAGAATTGTTTTCTGAACTGGATGAATCAGTCCGGTCTGAAGTGACATTTGGCAATAAGTCAAAAGTGCCAATTTTGGGAAAAGGTAAAATCTCTATTCAGTTGAAGGATGGTACTCACAATTTTATATCCGATGTGTTCTATGTTCCTGAATTACACCAAAATTTGTTGAGTATGGGTCAGTTGTCAGAAAAAGGATATAAGATACATATTGCTCAGGGGTGTTGTACCATTGAAGATGCTAAAGGAGTTTTGATTGCAAAGGTAAATATGTCCCAAAATCGACTATTTCCTTTGAAAATTAAGCATACTCTCCTTGATTGCTTTAATTCTGAAGTTTGTGATGATAATTGGTTATGGCATATGCGGTTTGGGCATTTTCATTTCTCTGGGTTAAACTATCTTGCGAGAAAGGAACTTGTTTCTGATTTACCTGTTGTGAATGTCCCTGATCGTATATGTGAGATTTGTGTGATTGGGAAGAAGCATAGAGATCCCTTCCCTGTGGGCAAGTCAAGGAGAGCTACAAAACAGTTGGAGATTGTTCACTCAGACCTGTGTTCGTTGGAGGTTCCCTCACATGGAGGTTGTAAGTACTTTATTACTTTCATTGATGATTTCAGTAGAAAAACATGGGTTTACTTTCTGAAGCAAAAGTCTGAAGCATGTGATGTTTTCAAACAATTTAAGGATTTTGTTGAAAAGCAGAGTGGTTATGAAATTAAAATCTTGAGAACTGATAGAGGTACAGAATATATTGCCTGTGATGATTTTCTGAAGAAGAAGGGTATTCAACATCAGATGACAGCTAGATACACTCCACAACAAAATGGAGTGGCTGAGAGGAAGAATAGGTCTATCATGGATATGGTAAGGTGCATGTTGAAATCCAAGGATCTGCCTAAACCTTTTTGGGCAGAAGCTGTTGCTTGTGCTGTCTATGTGTTGAATAGGTGTCCAACTAAGAGTGTCCGGGATAAGACACCCGAAGAAGCTTGGAGTGGGAGAAAACCCTCTATCAAATATCTCAAGGTTTTTGGATGTTTGGCATATGCACATGTGCCGGATCCGTTGAGAAAGAAGTTGGATGATAAAGGTGAGAAGTGCATATTCATTGGTTATAGTGACGCTTCAAAGGCTTATAAACTATACAATCCTTAAACTAAAAAGGTTGTTATAAGTCGTGATGTCACTTTTGATGAATATGGTGCTTGGGATTGGTTAGCTAAAGATGAAAGTTCAGTTGTTATTCCTGATGTTGAAAATATTGTTGAAGAGCAACCGATTCCAGATAATGTCCAGTCTCCTTCTCAGCACGAGCGCCACTTACCAGCTCGCTTGCAAGATTATGTTTTGGGTCATGATAATGACTTGTCGGATGAAGAGATTATTCAATTTGCTCTTTTTGCAGATTGTGATCCTTTATCTTTTGAGGAGGCTGCTACAGAAACTCATTGGCTTAAGGCGATGGATGAGGAGATACGTGCCATTGAGAAGAATGGTACCTGGGAGTTAACAGATGTACCTCTTGGGAAGAAGCCAATTGGAGTAAAGTGGGTTTACAGAACGAAATACAAGTCCGTATATCCAACTTGAAGACGGAGACATTTCTTAAATTGAAGAAGGAGATATTGGGATGACCAATATATCCAACTTGGTTTAAAGGAGGCAATGTTATAATAATATTATTATTATTATATTAAACCAAGTAAGATGAGTTAGTTGGTTAAAAATAATGGGAGTAATTATAGGTGCAGTATATGGCCATGATGTTAGCTTTACATGGAGCATTAATTCCTTAATTTTAGCATTTGAGTTATCTTATCTAGTATAAATAGTCTTTGTATTCAAGCTTTTATAATCAATCAAGTTATCTATTCCTCTCTCTCTCTTCTCAATTATATATATATATATATATATATATATATATATATATATATATACATATATATATATATATATATATATATATATATATATATAATATTTATATATATATATATATATATATATATATATATATATATATATATATATTATAGATATATTATATTATATTTAATATATCTAACAACTAAGAACTTCAAGTAATTCGGGGACTACAAATTTATGACCTTTTAATTTGTACGAATCTAATCTAATTTGATATACAATTGAAAGACGTGTTTCATATGTGCTAGTCAGAGTTTCAATTTGATACCCTATAAAAAAATATACAATGATCCACCTGACACATGAAAAAGACAAGAGACTTTAACACAGTTTGAAGCAATCATTTGCTACTAGTTATGACCGTGTTTGGTAAATGAATATTAATTGTTAGCTGATTAGGTTAATTAGATGGTATAATTAGTTGATAACATAGCTGATTGTAGGAAGGTGTTTAGTAAATTGGCTGTTAGCTAATAGTTGTTTAGTATAATATCTTTTCTCGAAAAACTAATTGAAAAAGTTGCTTGGAGTAGCTTTTTGAATTTTAGCATTTTAGAATTACAAAAAATTAATGAATCAAACACTTATATTGATTTTTTAACCAAATTAAACTATTAATAGTGGTCAAATAAACCAAAATTGATTGATAGGTTAACTATTTACCAAACAGGGCCTATAACTTTTGGCGTGGAGGTAATCGTTTGATCTAACAAGTGGTATTAGAGCCGGTTACGTGTTTGATACCAACAATAACATTAAAGACTAGTAGGTAAAAGGCTTAAAAGGTCAAGTCCAGCATCGAGCTAAAAAAAAACAGTAATACCTGTGATTGGGTATGCCCTATGGAGCAGTGGCAGACATGGAAACGTCAACTGAGTTGGGTGATGATGATGGAGAGTGGTGGTGGTGCTGTGCTTTCTTTGAGCTGAGAAAACGCCCTCCGCTGCCCCTCACCCTGTTTACCGCGTGGAGATGGCGAGACCCGTGCATATATGGCTGCACTTCACTCGTATATATATAGAAACTTGAAAATCTAGCCAAGCATATATATAGGGAAAACAATGTATTTTTTTCTCTATATATTTATATAAAATAGTATTTTAGTATATAGTGGTTAAATTATTAACGTAATCATCACTATTGACCTTTCAAAAATTTTCAAGGTTTTAGTTTTGATTTCTTGTCAATGGTAATTTTTTATTTTTTATTTTAATAGTCAAACGTAAGTCACACTTGCGCTTGTTGTATACAAGAATACATACGAGAAACTCAAGTCATACTTGCATTTTTCGTATTTGTACTGACAAACGCTAATACGACTTCCATTTGTCGTATTTTAGACAAAAAAGGTAAATAATTTCAAAAAAGTGCCAAACTCGTTTGAGATTTGTATTTTTTTACCAGAAACTCGATCAAGTCCCAAACGAGTTTTTCTTAAATTTCTCCCAGTTATAAAATCATCCTATTTTTGTCACATTTCAGTTAAAAGCAGGTAAAATACCAGCCGATGTAATAATGCATTGTCATTGATTAATTATGTAACAAATAATTCTGTAATACAGTAATTAATTAATCATAATGTGTTATATCAGATGATGTTTTTAAAGTCAATAATAATAAAAGAAGGGATGCACACACCTTTCTAGTTTTGAGTAGTCTGTTTTGTGCCACAAGCTTTGCCCGCATCTGTCTCCTTCTTAGTATTCCATGATACTGCTTTGCATTCACAAAAATGAGTCCATCATCTGCAAGATCAAATGGCAGCGGTAGCCGAGCAGTTGAAAAACCAACTACATGAGGCTGAACCAAACACACACATAATCAGATTCAATTCGCCCATCACCCCACACAAAATAACTAATAAGAGCTGAGGTTGCAAAATATTTCTAACCGAGTGAGTCTCCTGTGAGACCCGGCTCCCTCACGAATTTTTATCTGTGAGATGAGTCGGGTAATGATGGTATGCTAGAAAATATAATAGTAATCAGAAATAAATTGTTTGTTACAAATGTAATATTTTGAAATCAACCTGTGATATTTAGAGTTGAATAGTTACTTTGAGAAAAAAAAATGTAAAATACTTGTCATGGATAAATGGTTTAATTGTTACTTATGAGAGAAAGTGTAATGCATAATGAGAAAAAATTTGATATATTTGATTAAAATGTACGAAGTAATATTTTTAGATCAAAATATACTATTAAGAGTTGAAGAATTGCTCATAATGAAAATTGTAATACTTAAAGAAAAACCCGACCTGTCTCACGGGTGAGGATCCATGAGAGTATGAGACGATGTCATAGAAGAATTTGTCTTTAATTTCTAACCACATAAAGAGAAAAATTGAAAGGAGGAAATTATTTTACTCTGTTATGTTTTTATTGTTGCAATTTACTCAGCTAACTTTTTAAATAAGTTTAATTAACCTCAAAACCTATACCAAGACTATGTGGTCTAATGGTACCCGGATTAGACTTCCATTTGGAAGGTTGTGAGTTCATGTCTCAGTGGTTCTTTGTGTTTCAGTAGGTTGAGAATGTATATGAACAAATACTACATTGTAATAGAGAAAACCTACAGAATTGTTAAACTTTATTAGATCAAATTTTACTTAATATATGGATATTTAATTTAGTATTTTCTTATGTTTCTTCTTTATTATAACCCTCTTCAATTTCAGTATTTTATCTGTAAAATAATTACCTTGATTTTAACAAGTTCATGCAGAGGACAAAATAAGTAGGATGCACCTCAATTGAATAGAGAAAATTTATGAAAATTGGTGTCAATTCAATTTTGCATATGAAATATCGAAATTGAAGAGGTTATAAAAAAAATAAATAAATAACTAAAATCTCATATATTAATTAAAACTCTAATAATGTCATTTAATAATTTTGTTGCTCCGATCCAAGGGTTGAAACAACAACTTATTTAAAAAGTTGGAAGAGTAAATTGCAACAAAAAAAAAAAATGTTAGGCAATAACACACGAACCTACTAGATTAAAGAAAAATTGAAGGACTAAAAATACAAATTTTCAAATCCAAAATAAAATAAGTATACATTTACTTGAGGTCCATAAGCGGTAAATAATCCATTGAAGTTAAGGTCGTCGTCGGAGCAATTGTAAGAAGAGTGAATCTGAGAAGAGAAGGAAAACCAAAGAATTGAAAGCATATATATATATATATATATATATATATATATATATATATATATATATATATATATATATCATGAGATTTATATTATAATCAAAAGCTCAATAATTAAGCTGAAGCCATCATCAATGGCAGGCAGGAACTTACAGTAGTGGCTTGGCCGGAGGAATGGGTTGAAACTTCCAAATTGTCAACGAAGAAAGTAGGCCTCATAACTCTTTTGAACGTACTAACAATTGGACATACATATATGATTATAATTATGGCAAAACAATAATTCATAAATTAAAGAAAAATATTAAATAAATACAGAACCCAAAAACAGAAAGTCAACCATCTCCCAAGAATCCAAGATCTATCTATCCCTGATCTTCCCCAATTAATCCCCAGCATCAACGACCCCATCAACTTCTACACATTTTCTATAATATTCATCATCAACTAACTATAACAACAAAGCATATATATCTATCCAATATTCCCCTATTCACACCAAATTTTAATTTGAACCAAAAAGAAGCAGCAAATTAAAAGCCAGCAACTTTATGTTCACAACCCATCATGCATTCAAGATTATATCAATAAAAATCAAAAGTACCCATGAAGCAACTTTATGTTCACAAAGCACACTACTCATCATAGATACACAGTATATATATATATATATATATATATATATATATATATATATATATATATATATATATATATATATATATATATATATATATATATTATGTATTCAATATTCAGTTATTCACATGCATGGAAAAGTGAAAATGGAATGGGACAGTGAGTGAGAAAGAGAGGAGAGAGAGAGGAGAGAGAGACCTTAGCTTTGGGATCTAAGAAGATTAGGAGAAAGAAACAAAAGTGGTGTTTGTTGGGATGAATGCATACCCCTCTCCTAACTTTCTCTCCCTTTTTTCTTCTCTCTTTAGTAAGAAAATATTTGTTGTTGCAGGAAACTTTGGTGCATCTTCTTCGTGAGCAAGCATGGTGTATGATTACAACATACAACTATATATATGCCCGGATTATGGACTAGGTCCACTTTGTATCATTGATCATAATTCATTATTATAATATTATAGATTCATATTAAAGTATCATTAACCATGAATCATTATTATAATATTATTACAGATTTATTATAACAATACTGTAAGTTCATTAAAATGACATAAATTTCCCTATTATCTTTACATATATTATTTTTTATTTTTGTATAAATAAAATTAATATAAAAAATATATTATTAAAAATAACCTATTGATATTTTTGGATGATATTTATATTAATATACTAGTTCTTTTACGCGCTTTGCGCGAATTAAATAATGCCCAATGATTATTTTTAAATAAATATTTCAAAGTATATATATCAATGCAATATTATATTGGAGATGTTCATGCATAGGTAAATAAATATTGACCTTTATTTATTTAAATCGGTAATTTAAAGTATATAAATGCAAGATAATATATGAGAGATTGATTATATTGTCAATAAAATAAATGTTTGCAACTTTGTAATATTGGAGATTGATTATATTGTCATTGTCTTCATCTTCAGTACATGTCCTTTTTTTTTTTTAATTAATTGGTAGTGCGTCATGTGCAATTGGGTTACTGGTGGTAGCATAGATGGATTCATCGTGCAATGAGATTATGGTGTAGGAAGCTTTAGATTTGCCTGATTGTGTATATGATGGGATCTTAGTTGTACTATTAACTCTTTATGACTTTATCTTACAAGCACCTATTGATATTTGGCAGTGGTAGTTTGTCCCCTACATGTCTCATGCGTTGTGAGATGTGTGTCGTAGGTTATTATGTGAAAGTATTGAACAAAATATTAATATTTATTATATTTGTATAAAATACTTGGTAAATAAATATATATAACATATTTTGTAGGGAAAATTGCTTCTTTGGTCCCTGAGTTATACCCAAGTTCCGACTCAGTCCCTGAGTTATAACTGTATCCATTTTTAGTCCCTCAGTTATGAACGAAGTGACGCATTTGGTCCCCGGCCGTTAAAACTGACGGCAAAATTAAAAAAATATTTAAAAATTTGAGAGGTAAAGTAGGAAATTCACATTTTATTCTCCTTATATCAAAATCACTTTCACAACATTATTTTTCACTTCTTAGCCTCTCATTTCAAGATTGTTCAATTGTAAAAACATTTCAATAACTTTAGTATGACTTGTTAGGAACTTGGTTCTCGTATAACAAACTTAAGACTTAGCACAAACACAGAAACACTTGACCATTGTCTTCATACGTGTGAAACACACTATCCTATCAATTTTCAATTTTCTTTACTAAGCAACAAAGGTAATCAAACCAGAACTTTTGAGATACAAAATGATATTAAATTTCTCAGGTTGCTTTTATGAAAAATTAACCAATGGAATAACTTGGAATTTTTAGTGTGTAAATTTTTTTCATATGCAGTAGTTTTGTCAATAATCGTTTTTAGAAGTTACAAAAGTTTTTAAAACTTTCATAACTGAGTCTTAGGTTCCTCATTCATTACTCTGATTTTTAAGAAGACGGGGAGGTGATGGATATATATATATATATATATATATATATATATATATATATATATATATATATATATATATATATATATAATCTTCATATATTGTCAGGATAAACGATTCCTGATTAAGTTACTGCATAGTTACAAAAGAATTTTACGTATAAAAATCTCAAGTTACTCCCTTGGTGAATTTGTCATAAAAGTAACCTGAGAAATTTGATATCTTCTTGTATTTCAAAAATTATGGTTTGATTACCATTATGTTTAGTAAGGGAAATTATAAACTTTTAGGATTGTGCGTTTTACATGCTTGAAGACAATAATCAAGTGTTCTCTTGTTTGTACTGAATCACATGTTCCTTATACGAGACTTAGGTTACTAACAAGTCATACGAAGATTATTGAATTCCTTTTGGGATTAAAGAACCTTGAAATAGAATGCTAGGAAGTTGAAATAATGTTGCAAAAGTGGTTTCAATATAAGAAAGTGAATAAATTGTGAATTTCTTACTTTACCCCTAAAATTTTAAATATTTTTTAATTTTTCCATCAGTTTTAACGATCGGGGACCAAATGCACCACTTCGCTCATAACTGAGGGACTAAAAATGGATACGATAATAACTCAGGGACTGAGTCGTCACTACCATTATACAAGATAATGTAAAAAGAAGACAATGGACAATGAGTGAATATACTAAGTTATAATAAATTTGAAGGTAATGAATCTTTGAATGGTAGAAAATAAAGATAATATAACTAATGAAATTATCTTTTTTAAAATTTTTATAATGAATAATTTTTTTAAATAAAATCATTATAGACATCCAATTCTAAATTAATTAAATGCATATGTATTATTTTTTGTTGTAGCTACTGATTTAATCTACTATATATATATATATATATATATATATATATATATATATATATATATATATATATATATATATATATATATATCTACTATACTAATAAGAGCCCAAGAGAGTTAGGCCTATAATGGGTAGAAAAAATGGCGGTCACAGATTTTAATCAAATGAATGGCTCAGATTGATTAAAAGATTGATCAGATTTAAATTTTACACTAAAATTTCCTAAAATACCCACCCACCGTTACTAATTCCGTTAAAATTTTAAGAATTGCCGTTAGTTCACCGTTAACTTACTCATTAAAAAAAAAGGTCTTAGATTCGAACCTCATCCCAATCAAAGTTGGCATAATTAATACTCTATTTTACTCTTATTAAATTATATAAATAATAATTTAGTAGTTACAATAAAAAATAATACATATGCATTTATTTAATTTAGAATTATGTGTTCACAAAGTCTTTATTCAAAAAAAAAAAATTATTCATTATTAATAAATTAAATAAGATAAATAATTTTATTAGTTATATTGTCTTTATTTTTCTTCAATATAAAAATTCTTTATATTCAAATTTATTAATTGATTATATTCACTACATTGTCCTTACAATGTCTTTATTCAGTGAAAAATAAATTATTAATTATCAATAAATTAATTAAAAGAAATATTTTCATTAGTTATATTGTCTTTATTTTTCTCAAATGTAAAAATTTTTACATTCAAATTCATCAATTGATTATATTCACTACATTATCTATTATCTTTTTTTGTGCACTATTTTTCTAATTAAATATCAAAGTTATAACATAAAATAATGCTATATATTTATTTACCAAGTATTTTATTAATCCCATGAAAAAATTTAAAAAATATAATTAATAAAGCCAACCATATTAACTACTTGAGAGATTTTGTGACAAAGAGAGTATTCAAATCACACAACAAATTGAAGTGAGAACTACCTCGCAATGTCCCTGTTTGACAATCAGCAGTTAGCGGTTAACGTTAGCGGATTATACAAGCGGATTTGACCAGCGAATTTATTTAATCATTAACATTGGGTAGAAAAAATGACCGCCAAATTATTAAATCAAATGAATGGTTCATATTGTTCAGGTTTTAATTTTTTTCTTTTTAGATTTTCTAATTTATCCTTAATTATATGATTATCCATTTAACTTTTCCGTTAATTCACCGTTAGTCTAATTCTTATATTAAAGTCTAATATAGAATTATAACTACACCATTAATCTAATTCTAATATTAAATTCTTAATAGAACTTAACCACAAATCCTAATGTCAGAATCTCCTCAAACAATATTAGTATATATTTCATATTTTATGCCCTAATTTTTTGTTCTCCCTTATGTCCCGTATTTGGTTTCAACCATACCTATACAATTATTTTATTGACAATTATAATCAATATTGACTATATTATCTTGCATTTGTAAACTTAGAATTACCTATTTAACCCGCACGGGCTTAGCTCAATGGTTTAGTGGGTAGTATTTGGGAGAAGAGACCAAGGTTTGAACCTCGGCGGCGGCAATGCGGGAATTATATCCAAAGTGGGCAGATTCCTTGTGCGTATCAGCATTTGGCTATGTCTACTGAACCATTGAGTCACTGTGATTTACAACTTTCCACAATGCTCTGTCGGGTCGGAGTGTGGGGGACCCCTTGGGGTTGGGGACTCAACCTTTGGGAGAAGAATTACCTATTTAAATACGCAAATTCAACCTCCAATTATCTATGCATGAACAATTTCAATATAATCTTGCCTTAATATACTTTAAAGTACTTATTTAAAAAAAAAAAAAAAAAAAAACATTGGACATTATCCCAATCGCGCAATGCGCGTAAAAAACTAGTATATACTAATAAGAGCCCAAGAGAGTTAGGCCTATAATGGGTAGAAAAAATGGCGATCACAGATTTTAATCAAATGAATGGCTCAGATTGATTAAAAGATTGATCAGATTTAAATTTTACACTAAAATTTCCTAGAATACCCACACAGCGTTACTAATTCCGTTAAAATTTTAAAAATTGTCGTTAGTTCACCGTTAACTTACTCATTGATTTCAATAAAAAAAAAGGTCTTAGGTTCGAACCTCATCCCAATCAAAGTTGGCATAATTAGTACTCTATTTTACTCTTATTAAATTATTATATAAAGGGAAAATGACACTTTTTACCCCTAAGTTATATACTTATAGCACTTTTTTCCCCTCAATTATTTAGATAAGCACATTAGCCCCCTCAATTATTCTAAAAGTGGTGCTTTTTTCCTATGATATATTAAATTGACATTTATACCCTTAAAGTAACATTTTATTTATTTTACTACTCCAACAAATTATTGCGTATACATAGGGATGACTACGGTTCGGTTTGAATTGAACCGGATACTAAAGCAATCGAATTAATAGTTTCCGGTTATAATTCAGATCTAGAATCCAATATTTAAATGTCAATTTATTAAAATTATGTATCAAAAAAATTGAATCTTGAACCGTGAACCGGCGGTTCCGGATCCGATTTGCGATTTTGAACCGTCT